GCTGGCATATTGAGTGCAGCACTTTCACAGCATCATCTTTTAGGATTTGAAATAGCTCAACTGGAATTCCATCACCTCCACTACCTTTGTTCATAGTGATGCTTCCTAAGGCCCACTTGACTTCACATTCCAGGATGTCTGGCTCTAGGTGAGTGATCACACCATCGTGATTATCTGGGTTGTGAAGATCCTTTTTGTACAGTTCTTCTGTGTATTCTTGCCACCTCTTCTAAACATCTTCTGCTTCTGTTAGGTCCATTCCATTTTTGTCCTTTATCATGCCCATCTGCATGATATTGCCTCATATATAAATGTCATAAATATTGACTCTTATCATATTCTTTAACCATGGCCCTCTGGCCTTGGGAAAAATAAAATTTTTTGTAACCCTTTCTGCTAATTAGCATGAGCTCTAGCTCAGGATAACTAATACAATGTGTGATTTGATCTAACTGAAAATCTCATTAGAGTGATATGTTCTCAATTTCACTAACCTATCTGCTTCATTACCAACCAATATGAGTAATTTTCACAGGTTAATTGTGCCTATGCTTAGAAAACAGGTTTAATTTTGTCTTTACTTTATTGATGCTTAATTCTACTGAACACTCTCCTGTTCTAGCATAATGGAAAAGAGTAGCTGGTTACTCTTTTCTATTTATCATAGTCTGTGGCTGGTTTTTATCTTGATTATTGGTTTTCAAGATTTATATTACATCCAAAATCTATTCCAGCATGGAATCTTCCTTCTTTAAAAACCTTTGCACTTTTAAAACATCTTTTGAAATCGACTTGACACTTTTCTTTTTTATATGAAGCAGTTATAGCATTATATGATTGAAATTTTGTTTCTGACACTTGGGTAAGCAATTCAGTCACTCTGATCCTTAATTTTTTCCATTTAAAAAGGGATGATAATAATAGCACCTATTCTTGTGAGATGATAACAAGACATAAATTAACTATTGCATGTAAAATACTTAGCATACTGCCTGCAATATTGTAACTTCTCAACACGTTATTTTTTATTAATTCATCAGGATTAAAAATGTATATATATTTGGGCTTTTTTGATAGGAATATACCTTATGCTTTTCTCTTTTAAAATGGTTATTCAGTAATGATTTCCTGAATTTTGACCAATGGCCAAATTTAATTAATGCAGAATCAGTAGTGAATAAATAGAGTGGAATGGAATGGAATTCTAAAAAGCAGAATGTGGGAAGAAACTGTCTCTAATTGGTTTGTTTTTGTCTTTGAAAAATGAAATGTTTGAACTGCATAAAGTAGAGATTAGAATCACAAGTTTTTGAACCACACTTCCAAGGCTCTGACACTCACTTATTCTCTAATGGAACAAGTTACACCTGATTTTTAAGATGGGTGTAATGATGGTGTTTAATGCATAGGATTGTTTTGAGGACTAAATTCATTAATATATGCAAAATTCTTAAAAATAATATGTGCTACATAATTAATACTATATAAATGTTGCTATGAATATTATTACTAACAGTACCACTACTATTATAATCTCTTTAAGTGCCTGTCTTTGAGACAGAAATGACTCAGTTAGCTTAAAATGTTTTTTAATATTATTTTTGTGTGTGTCTGTTTTTATCTTCTGGAAAGAATGAAGCTGAAGGTAAATTTTAAGATTAAAAAAAGTAAAAAATTAATCTGTGTGCCACTTGGGAATCTTTTTTAGGCTATCTTTAACTGGACACAGAGAAATTTCCTCTCTTAAAATTGTAGGACAAAGCCTGAACAATCAATGAATCCTTTTCTCAACACATATACACTGGTAAGGTAAAACTCTACCTCTATATCATTTTGCATATTCCTTTAAATTATGACTTGGATGAAAAACTAAAACATTAGTTTTATATACATCCAATTTTTTTATTTAAGAGGGTTTGGTTGAGACTTGCCTGAGACTGACTATTTGGAACTCCCTAACAAGAAACCTTCAACTAGGTGATCAATAGCATATGAAGGTTTATGACACTGAACTTGCAAACAAACATAGGTAACTACAGAGACACTAGCTGCTAGTTGAAGGAAACACATGACTTTTCAAAAGAAAGAAAGTTTTTTGTTAAAAAGAAACTTTCTAGAGTAGATTGTTTTGATACCTTTGGGTAAGAGTTGAAGTCGCCTTCACTCCAAAATCAACATTCAGTACCTCATCAGCATCATCAGCAGTACACAACTAATGGCAAACAAAATTATGACCTTTTTAAAAAATCTGGTCAAAATCTTCCTTATGCTTCAAAAAAATACCCATTTTCATTTATCAATAGGAAAGAACTTGTAGTTTTTTGAAAAACAAAAATTCCAATAATAATGTCTTCTTTTAATTTTTTAATAGATTGAGATTATGTCTGTATGTCCCCTTTAAAGTAAAGAATCGAGACACTTATCTATATAATTCAGGTTGAAAATAGACTTTTCATGTACTCTGTGAATACTTAAGATTAACATATTATTTTACTCAAATTATTAAATTTTTCATTACTTTTTCTCTGTAAACATTGCTCTAGTATTTCAAGAATAACTTTATAAATAAACACAATATATAATAGTGTGCTAGAAAAATATGCATCTCCATGAAAATCTAGATTTTTCACTGAAGTGAAAAATTCTTGACAGTAGTATTGTTATTTCCTACAAGTGATACCTACCATAAATGAAATGAAGATGAATAGAGATATTTTGATACCTTTGGGTAAGAGTTGAAGTCGCCTTCACTCCAAAATCAACATTCAGTACCTCATCAGCATCATCAGCAGTACACAACTAATGGCAAACAAAATTATGACCTTTTTAAAAAATCTGGTCAAAATCTTCCTTATGCTTCAAAAAAATACCCATTTTCATTTATCAATAGGAAAGAACTTGTAGTTTTTCAAAAAACAAAAATTCCAATGATAATGTCTTTTTAAATTTTTTAATAGATTGAG